AGACTGAAGATAGAATTTGCCTAAACTCTAATTCTCACAGATTGTCACTCAAATTTTCAATCAGATCCTAAGGTGTAGTCTCTCGACAAACATATGTGAGTGAAGTTATGTAAAAAAGAATCAAAATTCTCACATATGAAATATGAATAAAAGCACAATTTCAGAATACATCTCATGAAAGGAATCAAACACTAATAATATGGATAACACACATACTTACCAGCACCCATGAATATATCCCCAAAGATCAGCTAGGTCTTTTACAAGATTGTAATGTAAGGCTTAGGCTACGAAAGAATGGATAGGAAATACTAGAGCTTGGGACATACCAAAGTGTCTTTGTAGTGAAACCAACAAGCTCTCCTCTTGAATTGGTCTTCGTTGTTTGTTCTTGGCATCCAAGACCCATGTGCGATAGTGAAGGATTTGGAAATTGCATATTCTTTATTCTTTTTTTTTTCCTTTTTTTTTTATATTTCATTTCTCTTTTTATTTTGCAATTCTAGCATGTGTTACCTCGGTACACACCATTTTCTTGATGTAGAGCTTAATCATTATCTTTGTCTTCATCACTTTGGTATTCTCCAAACTATAGGGTATGGCTGTAATGGGCTAAGATGAGTAGAGTTTGGTGTAGGTGATGAAAGAATCAGGTTAAAAGTGTTTGGCTGCAAAAAAGATGAATGGAACACACAAAGGGTTGGGAATAATGCCATTTGGTGGTTAAAACATGCATAGCTAACATCGTCTCAATGGGTTCATTCATAAGTGATAACAAGCACATGGTGTAGGTGATGAAATAATCAGGTTAAAAGTGTTTGGCTGCAAAAAAGATGAATGGAACACACAAAGGGTTGGGAATAAAACCATTTGGTGGTTAAAACATGCATAGCCCAACATCGTCTCAATGGGTTCATTCATAAGTGATAACAAGCACATGGTATCTGCAAAAGAGAATAGTTCTTAGCATTCAATCAAACAAAAATAATGAGATCATTTAAAGTGAAATTGAAAGAAAAAGATAGGAGCATAAACACTTTAAACCCTCTCAAAGATGCAAATAGGCTCAAAATAGCTCACTAGGGTAGTCTCCACTATTCTTCTTCTATAATATGAGCATGGTACTTTTACCATCATAATATCAAGAGTAACAACTTTGTAAAAGAAAATAAGATACGAAACTTTTTCATGACAACACTGCAGTTTTGTTGTAAACATAGCCCTCATATACATTCACATTAGTTAGCAAAAGCAAACTTAACCAACACTAAAAACAAACGAAAATTTTCAATCCCACACCCCCCAAACCTAAACTAAGCATTGTCCTTGATGCATAAAAAAAATGAATGGAATGCAGCAATGCATGAAGGCAGAGTAAGCATGGAATGTAATAAAACAAAAACTAAAAGACACAAAATAAAAGGAAAGAACACAAACCCAGCTAGGTTGCCTCCTAGAAAGTGCTTTATTTAATGTCTAGGCAAGACATGGTACCATGATAGATGAACACCTAGGGTGGCAAGAAGTCAAGGTACCTCCGAACCTTGGTCGAAAGAAGTGGTTTCTTTCGAGGGACTTTGAATATAGTGTGTTGAATTTCCACAAGAACTTGATTGTGATCATGTTTTCGTCTCTCCTTGCGAAGAAGCATATCCTCGAAAATTGTTAAAGATGTGGCTTGAGCAATGATTTCAACGGATGAATGAAATTTGTTCAAGGTAGCAATCTCATCATCTAGCTCCAAATCTTCTTTCTTATGGTGAATGGGTAGCAATGATTTGTCATCCAACTTCAATATGTTTTTCTCTTCATATGGCAGCAAATCATCTCCAAAAGACTCCAAAGATGGCATCTAAAAAGATGTAAAACAACATGGAGAATCCAGCACATATTTTGAAAAACATTCAATTAAATTAGAGGATAGAGGAAGAGTTTCAAACACTATGTTCGACACAGTTTCACCAAGCACATCTATGGGTGACTCATCATGCTTTTGTTTGACAAATCTCCTTGGAAAAGGAATTGGTGGAACATATGGCTTGGGAGGAATGTAAGACTCTTCATCTTTATAAGGCTCAGGAACCTCATGACAATATGCATAGCAAACTTCCTTTGGTTGTTCCTCCTTCTCTTCTTGATCATCACCACCGGATTGATGTTCATTTATAGCTTGGACAATCTGACCCACTTGAATTTCCAAATTAGTTAGTGCTAAAGAATGGTTTTGAATAATGCTACTCGTTGATTGTTGAAATTACAAATTGTTTTGAGCAAGTAGCTTCAAAGTGCCATCCAATATAGTGTTAAAGGATTCTTGTTGTGGTGGAGGTGCAAATGCTTGATTTGGGGCTTGTATGTTGTTCCAAGAGTCATGATGAGAGTTTTTCCAAGCAGGGTTGTATGTATTTGGCATTGGTTGCAGTGGCCCTTGGTTAGAGAAACACATGCGGTGTGAGTGCTCTCGAACAAATGTAGGAAACTCATCTTTCCTTGGGCAGAATTGAAGAAGATGGTCAGTTTTAGAAAATAACGGACATTTGCCGTACATCTCTCTATACCACCTGAAATCAAACAACCTAAAATGTAAATTAAAAATCTAAACTAAGAAAAGAAAAACAGATAGGGTTTATAAAACAAGCAATTATAGGGGAATGAAATCAGTCCCCGGAAATGGCGTCAAAATTTTGTTGTGTTCATTTTAAGTGTAAATATAAGGATAGTATAATGGTACAAGTAAGGGTGTCAAACCACAGGGACTGATTAGACCTCTACAAATTACTAGCTTTATGTAAACCCTAACTAAGCAATGAAAATGAAAACTGAATTTAGATTTTGGTTTTGAAAGCTAAAGTAATTTAAAATGCAAAACAAGATAAAAATGAACGATAGATTGATTCATAAATGATGGGAACGGAACTAGGGATATCGATTTCACCATTACAAGCCAATTCCATAAAAATTAAGTTAAAACGCATTCAACTCTCTAATCTGCAACTAGGGTTCGTTTTACTCATTTATGATCATTCATTTGATGTGTGGTTGTGATCAAGTACTCATAATCTGCAACCTAATAAGAATCCATTAAGAACAAGAAAACTTCAAAGAACCAAAGAAACCACATGGCAGGATGTATGCACAACAGTTTCTTCATTCATTCACATGTCTACCAAGATTAAGCATGATGTGTACTATAAGCAACCCTAATGGTGATCAAACATTAAGATTAACAAACAAATTATACTATAAAACCAGTGAATGAAACAAGAACACAGATTGGTAATTTCAATACTTTAACTTAATAACATAGAATAGGTTTGCAAGGCTACATCGAAATTCCCAGCTATGAACTTAATTACACAACATGATTATAGAATATATAAATTTCAAGAACAACATGAGTGAAATTAAAGTTCATAGAATTAACCCCCTTGAAGCAATTCTGATGTTGAACTTCTCCAAGAATAGCACGACTGCGTGGTTTCTTTGGTGGCAGCAGATGGTGATGAGAAATAGGGTTTTGTTTTTGGAAGAAAGAGAAGAGAGAGAGCTTTGGGCGACCCCAAGGGGGAGCATGTGTAAAAGTGGCTAGAACTCTCAGTTTTATAAGATTAAAGAGGCTGTTATAGAATGCCAAGACATCCCAGTAATGGAGCATTTATTTCAGGTGTTTTTTACTGTTATTGGTTTCTCAAAAGGGCCATATTCATCACCATATTCAATTGTACACTTTGAATCTCTCTCTACATTAGAATCCTTATTCAATTCTCCACTTTCAGCATCATTTTACCTTATTTACCCTTAAATGGCTCTAAAATACAATTAACTACATATTAACACAAAAGAGAGTAAAACGCAACCAGTTTAACTAAAAAATATCACAAAGAGACTAGGAATAGATGGAATAAATGCATGAAATATATGAATTATCATGAAAACTGACTGTAACTTGTGCAATGAAGCCTTTGTCGCACAAGTGTTCCTCTGATTCCCATGCGTTGAATGCTTTGCCCCAAAAATTGAACAAACTTTGCGCGACGAAGACTTTGTTGCGCAAAGGTTCTGTGGGAAAATCTTCGTCGCGCATTTGTTTTTGCTCCAACAAAAAAAATCACTTGCAGTTTTCTTTTTGGCTTTGCATGACGAACATATTTTTTTGGTCGTGCAAACATTGTTGCGCGACGAGTTCTCCGTCGCACAAAGTTGACCAACCTTGCGCGACGAAGAATTTTTTTTTCGTTGCCCAAAATGTCTTTGAGTGACAGATTTTACTTTGTCGCACAAAATTCTGTTGCGCAAATAGTTTTTCTACTAGTGATACCATATGGTATACAATGTTAGAATCATGGGAAAGATTTTTTTACATACTCTTTCGGGCTCACTACATAATGTATTTCAAAACTCGAACCGTCTGTATTATATGCACATAGTATTAAATGGATATGACACAAGGTTCGCAAACAAACTTATTAAGAACTTCACTCAATGTCACCGGAAAAACCAAAAGAATTTCACTCAATTATGAGAGGTGCATTGGCAGCAACTTGCACATAAAGAAAAACTTAATTTTCGTATGTGTTGAAAATTCCCAATTTATAACAGGCAAGTTAACAAAATTTTATGCCAATTTGTCAGCCTTCGCGGCCGACAGACGAAAGAGTGACGAGCTTGTAGATATCCCAAAAAAAAATCCAAATTATTGCTCCTGAAAATATGAGATGATAACTACTGAACGCAGTCGCACATACGCCCCACACAGAACGTACGTATTCGCTCAGTTTTGACATCTATAATTTCTTAGTTCCTTATTGGCTGCTGGTGATGCCAAAAGCCAAAGGTGCCCAGTTGTCAAATGGTTAAATAGCGTGCACAAATTGTTTTTTGACTTTGTCCAAAAGTCAACCCAGTGAGAAAGCACTCTGGGTTTCAGACAATCTGAGTCTCCTCCTTAATATATAGGAGCAGGCCTTGCAGATTTCTTCTCATCATATTTCTTTACAAACCAAAGTCAGCTGCCTAGCTAATACAAACCTCTCTCTGTCTCTCTCTCTCTCTCTCTCTCTCTCTCCCAGAATTGTATGCATGGAGAACTGGGATTTGCAAGCTGTGGTAAGAGGGTGCAATACCGATATTGATGAAGTCATGGAGGACTCCCAAATACCATATTTCTTTGCTCCTTTAAGCCTTCAGGAAGACGACGAGCTTTTTCAAGCTTATTTTCCTCAGGCCTTTGAAGCCACAACAACTTTAGCTGAATTGGAGGAGCTTTACAAGCCTTTTTACCCAGTTAATCAAATTACATCCCCACCAACTATTCTTGCCTCCTCCATATCTGTTCCCCAAGAAGTCATCACAGAAGCACCCAAGCTGATAAAAAACATGAAGGAATCAGCACCTATTTGTAAAAGAATAAGGTTGGTTATTTATCTAATTTCCCCTTCTCATAATTAGAATGTATCTAACCCTATTTTGGTTTGGTATGGTATGCAATGAACTTTATTATAACCATGAAATCGAGTCTGATCATCAGATTATATAAGTTCATAACCCTAGCCCATTCCTATATTTTCAGAACAAATCTACTAATAATTCTTTGATTCTAGTTATTAAGAGGGATCTTGAATTAAGAAATGTATTGTAAAAGCTAAAAAAGGGTATCCTAAGCAATTTTAGTAATCGTATATAGTAGATACTATCACACAAACAATCATAGTGTTGACAATTGGTTAAAGAAATTAATTAACTTGCAAGTATCAGTATCTTACTTGTTAGAAATAAATGAGGTTAAAAAGTGTTTTTTATTTTTTTTTTATGTTTTATTATTTTTTTTAATTTTGACTTAATGATTCTGGATTTATAAGTTTTCCAAATGTTTAATTTTTTTTTAATTTTGTTCTTTAAATGTTAATTTCAGCAGGAAGAATCAGAACAAAAGGGTTGTGAAAGAGGTTAAAGCAGAAGATCTCTTTTCGGATGTGTGGGCGTGGCGTAAGTATGGGCAAAAACCCATCAAGGGATCGCCACATCCGAGGAGCTATTACAGATGCAGCAGCTCAAAAGGATGTTCAGCAAGAAAACAAGTAGAAAGGAGCTGTTCCAATCCTGAAACGTTCATCATAACCTACACTGCAGAACACAACCATGTTCATCCAACTCGTCGAAACTCTCTTGCTGGCAGCACCAGAAGCAAGTTCCCTTCATCTAGAAACAAGGACAAATGTAGTAGTTCTTCGAATTCTCCAGCTACGCCTAATCTTGCCGCATCCATTGAAGATAACCGTGAGTTTGTGGAAAGCGCGGATATTAATATCGTAAAAGAGGAAGCGAAATTCTTGGAAGAGGATGAAATTAGTAATGAAAATGTCGTGTTGGGTACTATGGTGAGTGATGAAATGTTCCAAAGCTTAGAGGATTTGGATAGAAAGTTGGAACCAGTCATGGAAGGTTTGTTTTCGGATCAATTTTTGGACAATTTTTCAAGTCCTTGGTTCAATATTAATGGCCACTCTAGTACTGTAACCGGTGCTTGCTGATTCACCAGAAGCCATGCATTAGAGAAAGCAACATTTGGTTGGTTTATATCAAATTTGTATCATCACTATATTTTCCTAGCCCATGCAAGTTTTCTTTTATTTAGGTCTAGCTTTTTACAGATGGAAGATGCGAGTAGCAAGTCAACAAAGTTGATGGACATGAAATTGTAACTAATCTCAATAATTAAGGCTATTATGTATACGGACATGGATTAGAATGGTATCATCTCTTATTTTCAAATAATTGGTGAGCTTATATGCACCATCAACTTGGATTTTATTTTATTTGGAGGAATTTCTGATATTCTGCTGGTGGGACACTACTTGATCCATATGTAGTTATCTTGGGAATTATTTTTGGCATTCTAAAAATCTCAATTTGCACTCCTCACAACTGCATTTTTATTTCTAAATATAAGATGTTTGAATTGCACAATAAGAAATTTGGAGTATTAATAACAATTCCCATTATATTTGCTACATTGGGGACTTTGGTTGCGTCTAATAAAATGCAGGAGGAAAGAGACTTTACTCGAAAAACAAAATGGGGTGGGGGGGGGGGAGTAGACCTGATAATTTCTTACACAATTCATTAACACGACATGTAAACAACACGAAAATAACAGGTTTTGGATCGATACGATAACTAATCAAGTCGTTATCGGGTCACACGATAAAAATCCGTTAATTATGGGTCCTTAACAAGTTTATACGAGAGTGATACGTGGCTAACCCCATTTTGACACGTTAACAAAAAGTTTGTTTTGATGATTTTAATATTTTAAACTACTTAAAAAAACTTACCATAAAATACAATAGCCATAGTCTGTGTATATATTTTATATTAAAATATGTATTATTGTATTATTATTCTATACAAATTTAAAATTTTAAGTTTTATTTATTTTTATAGTATACTATAGGCAAAGAGTGAGATTAAAAAAATTATGAAACACATTAAAAATAAAAATATCAAGTAATTTAAAAATACCAAACACATTAAAAATGTCACATCCCGGGCTCGACTTTGCCGTAGCACGATATTGTCCGCTTTGGGCCCCGACCACGCCCTCACGGTTTTGTTTCTAGGAACTCACACGAGAACTTCCCCGTGGGTCACCCATCATGGGATTGCTCTCGTGCGAACTTGTTTAACTTTGGAGTTCCGATGGAACCCGAAGCCAGTGAGCTCCCAAAAGGCCTCGTGCTAGGTAGAGATGAGAATATACATATAAGGTTTACATAATCCACTCCCTTGGACGATGTGGGATGTTACAAAAAAAAATATAATAATTTATTTGTAAGTGTGCAAAATGTAAAACAAAATGTAAATGCTAGTGATCGAATCCATTACTCTTTAAGGATGGATACATCGTAGTTTGACTTTTTAAAACCATACAAACCTTCATGAATAGTATTTTTAAGGGAGTTCAAAATAAACCAATATAAACCAATATCATTTCCCTTGGTGATTGATGAAATTGAAGGATTTTATTGTAAAAAAAGGTGCAAGGTTTCCTCAACCGCGAAATGCAACTTCTTTCATTTTGCATATCCTTGAACATTTAGTATTTTGTGGTAATGTACTAATGTTTTTTCATTACTCTTATTTTGGGGTATGTAATACTTAAAAGACAAATGTTGTTTTTATGTTTTGAAGTAATATTTATGTGACAATATGATATACATATATAAATTTAGTATTATGTTTTCAACTTTTTTGGGGTCAAATTATGTTTTTCATTTTCATTATTTATTGATTTAAAATATATTTTTTTAACGGATAACGGGTCGGGTCATATTATTTGATAATATTAACAGGTCAATTTCTGGTCGGATTATATTACCCGTTTACTTTAACGGGTGTTATACAACATGACCCATTAAGATATAGGATATATTACGAAAACAACACGAACACAGAAAACACGACACGAATACCAGATCTAGGAGGGAGCTCATTTTAAGTGTGAACAGTGCACGCCTTTCAAGAACTTTGGAGTAGCAAAACTATAAGCAAGTCATTAAGAAATCTATTCCCACTCCTTTTTCACCACATTGAACAACAGTTTTAGGCTTATACTAAAAATTATGCCCGTGCGTTGATGCAGGATCGTTGCTACATGATAGAAAATTATACAAAAGATTATGTTTAAAATATATAAAAGATGGTGTTACAAAAGATAAACTGAATGTAAATGTTGTTTTTAAACTCGAATTGAACGCGTAAAATTACACTCTTAACATGTTTCGGAAATTTTATTTCATCAAGTGATTTCAAAATTCAAAAAATTGAACAAATCAGAAGACAGAAGAAATATGAAAAATTACATTTAGAAGAAGTGGTAAACAAATTTACGTTTTTGGGTGTTTGCTGGCTCTCTGTTTTCCTCACCTGCAATTAAGAGTCTAGACCCCCTAATTGATCAGTAAACAAATAAACATCGTGAAAAACCCAAAATTACCCAATTGGAATAATGACAACAATTGGACGAAACAGAAGAAACCATAGAGATTCAATAGTTCAGAGTCCACAACCTGAAACTTTTACTTAGTTCATACAGCTAAAGGAGCAATCCAATTACTAAATTGTAAAGAAAATTCTTCATAAAAAGTATCTAATTTTACAAAAAAAAAATATCTAATAGCACATCAGATAGTAAACTTGGAATTATCTACCAGATTCTGCAAGACATCGTTCAAGATGGATGTGTAAACAATATGGAATCAAATCTCCACCTAAATGGGTTGTTGGAGAACCTGCAATCCTTGAAAATTGTTGTAATTCAAATCCAAGTAGTTAAGATGCTTCAAATGGAGCAAAAAAGGATTTATCTTACCACCCACCCAAGTATTACTGTTGTAGAAATCCCAATCAGAGAGGTGGAAATCCTGCTGAAAATTGGGATTAGTGAGGCGAAGTTGAAGGATCTTGATATGTTAAACAACAATTTAAATGAAGATATATCTGATATGTTTGAGAATTTGTCTGTTTGTAGTTCGGAGAGAATAGATCATTGTCATTGGGGTTTAATAATCTTTTAGGCCATTTTACAGATGATCATGTTAGAAAGTTTAGAAATTTAAACCACCTTTATCTTTCTTGAAGTTCAATATCAGGTCTCATCCCAGTTTAACAGGACTCTTCCAAAAAGTATTGGTCAACTTAAATTGCTGATTAAATTAGATATATCTCATAATTCAATGAAAGATAATTAAGTTTGATCTAATCTTTTTTTATGTGATATATATGTATTATCCTTATCGATATTGTAGACCTATGAACCATAGCTTTGCAGGATACATTTTTCAGACATTGTAGACTTATGAACCATACCTTTGCAAGATGCATTTTTAGAAGACAAGCCTATGCATATGAAAGTAAATTGTTAAATACATTTTTCCACCAGTGTCTTGGGTGGCGTGTGATTCACTGAGATCTCTAGAACTGATAGAGGCTTGGGTGGCGTGTGATTCACTTTTCCATTGATAGAATATCATAAACCACAATTTGATTCCAATTAACGAAGAAGGAAAAACAATCAATAACGGGTATTGTACCTGTAATCAGGAACAAAATGCCGATATTATCGGCGATATTTCACCGATATTATCGGTTTTTCACGGTACTGATATTTCCGAAACTATCGCAATATTTTGGAACTATGCTACTCGGAGAAGAACGCCGGAGCTTCTACAGTTTCGGCCGACTGTAAAAGAGCACCCTAGACATCGATCTAGGTATCAAAATGAAATAGAAGACGAGATGAATGTTTTTATAAATTCCGTTTGCCGTGAAACGGTTGGAGGTGTTCGGAAAGTTAGTCGACACCCACGGCCTAGCTGGAGATGGGTGTGCCTATTCCCGAGCCGATTTCGTCCCAAAAACCTCGCAAAAACACGATTTTGAACTTAAATTTCACATATAAGCTTCAATCTAGAATAGAAAGAGGCAAACCTGAAGCTTACCTAATGGGAGAAATTCAAGAACCTTGCCGAAGTTCCTGCGTTCGCCGAGTTGCAGAGATGAGAAGGAGAGGGAGAAAGACGAGGTTGCTGATGATGATGGGTGTCTTCCTGAAGCAGGTGCGATAATGTGCGTGTGTGTATGTGGGTCTCGGACCCTCGGTGCAGAGAGAAAGGAGAGAGACGGCGCCGACAAGGGAGGAACAGAAGGCGATATGGGAGAAGGATCGAGAGACCTTGGGTCTCTGTGCATGTGTGTGGGAGAAGGATCAAGAGACCTTGGGTCTCTATGCATGTGTGTGGGAGATCTGTGTGTGTGTGTGGGAGAATGGAGAAGGGGGAGAAGGGAGATCAGAGAAGAGAGAAGGATCGAGAGAGAGACTGTGTGCGTGTGTTGTGTTGTGTGCGTGTGTGGTGGCGTGTCGGTGTGTGTGTGTGGTTGGATCATCTGACTCACACTCACCTGACAACTTTTACAATCACTTTTTACAATTTCAGACCATGGACAAAAATAATAGTGCTTTCATAATGAAACCGTGTGCCACTGTGAGTCTGTGATATTCTTTCACATTCAAAACCGTGTGCCACTGTGAGTCTGTGATATTCTTTCACATTCTCAGAGGTGGAGTATCAGAGCCATTCAGAGCATTTTCGTTTCTTCTTCTTCCCTTACCCTTTCAAAGCCATTCCAGATCCATTCCTGAGCTTGAACACAAAGGTTCTATATTTAAAGTAAGTTTACAAACTTATATTTATATTATTGTAATTTATACAACAACAAAAAAATTTGTGTAGACTTGTATGTTAATTTTTTTAAGTAATTAATACTTGCATGTTAATTTTTGTAAGTAATTAAGTAATGTTAACAATTACATATTAATTTTTTTAAGTAATTAAGTAATGTTGTATAATTATTCCCTAGGATAATTTTAATATGTTTAATGTTATTTATTATTTTATTAATATTAGGTTTGATTATCAAATTGGATTATTATTCATTAATATTAGGTTTTTTTTATTATCAAATTGGATTATTATTCATTAAATTTGATTATTATCAAATTGGATTATTCATTAAATTGGATTATTATCAAATTGGATTATTATTCATTAATATTAGGTTTTATTATTCCATATTATTTTTATAATTACTTAAATTTTTACAATCATTTTCTTTACTTCGTATTTAATTCTTTTGTAGAATAACTTTATTATTTAGGTTCTCTTATATAACCGTCATCACTACTATATTTTTTGGCCAAAAAATAATTGTCTAATTTTCATGAAAAATAAATATAG